GCCTTTACAACTTCTAGAATAATACCCTCAAATGTCTAACCTCACTACAGTGGAGACCAAAGAAAATAATACATAGCTAGAAAGTAAAGCTGAACACTAATGTGGTCCGCTATCAACCTGCGGCTCTCCGTGCTCCTGGCTCGTGACCTGAAAGGGGGAGGGACAACGAGCGTCAAAGCGCTAGCGAGCAACATCACAACCAACCCCAAGGGAAAGGGCTCGTTGTATACAGAAAATAGTTACCTGAAAGGGGGAGGGACAACGAGCGTCAAAGCGCTAGCGAGTAACATCACAACCAACCCCAAGGGAAAAGGGCTCGTTGTATAAGAAAATACAGATAATATGTATAATAGATCTAAAATCATTTATCTTACTAAAGAGGGTTTTAGTATTTAGAAATTTACAACACGAGCATAGGTACGTCGAGCGAAATAATCCAAACAAGGAAACCCTCATGTATATACCTTGTATCTCAAATTGTAAATCTCTAAACACCAAACCCGAGGTTCTAGTACAGAAACAATAATAAAAGAAATACAGCAAATCTCAGAACATTATATAGTGGCATACCAAAGCTAACATGGAAGACATGTTATTATTTACATAAGTGCCTTATCAACATCATGTCGTAGTTTCCAAACTCATGAAATAGGTGTCAAATGTCTAACACGAGGTCTGGAATGAATTTATAGTCCAACACGAGGACTTCTATAAATCACAGTCCAACACGAGGACTTTTATAACTCACAGTCCAATCTCAAGGACTTCTATAAATCACAGTCCAACACGAGGACTTTCATAACTCACAGTTCCAACACAAGGACTTCTATAAATCACAGTCCAACACGAGGACTTTCATAACTCACAGTCCAATCTCAAGGACTTCTATAAATCACAGTCCAACACGAGGACGTTCATAACTCATGAACTGAATATAACCGTTATCCAAAACATGGACCGGATGTGACCGTTGTCCAACTCATGACCCGGATGTGACCGTTGTCCAACTCATGGACCGGATATGAATGCATATCCAGCATGAGGATTAAATAGCAATGCATGCCCAACACGAGGACTAAGAAACTGTGAAAAGTATCGCTGTGGTATATAGTGAAAACTACTTATATCAATTCATAATCATATCAGTGTATATATCCACAATTGGTGCCCTCAGGTCATCTATTGTGCCTGGGTACATAGCAAGACTAAATACCAATGTCAGATAGTCCAGTCAAACTCCCAAACCTGAACAGAACACTCAAAAATACCCAGAACAGGGAAAATATCACAGACAGAGCGTCGGTCGACCGAATCGGTCGACCGATCTCTGATACGAGCCTGGCGGTCGACCGAAAAAATGTCGCGGTCGACCGAAACCGTCGGCGGTCGACCGAAATAATGAAGCGTTCCAATATTATAAAAACATGAGAAACAATTTCCAAATCGTTTAAATGACAGTAAAAATGATTTAGTTCTTGTTTAGGCAAAATTTTAGATCTAGATCGTCATCAAACAGGTATTGGGTGAGTTTTTATAAACTAAAACATCTGATTCATATTATTATACCATAGAGAAGTCTTTTCTTAACAAAAATACTATTTTGGCTCATCCAAAACTCAAAAAAATCCAAAATAAAGATCATGGAAAACAGGGGTGAGGGATTGGGCGAGATGATACTCGCCTTGGGGGTTGACGAACGTTCTGGAGATGATTCTCCTGAGATCCAATCCGCTGAAATCCCCTGGAACTCCTCCAAACTCCTCAAAGATCACCAGAGGCGGCTAGGGTTCTGAGAGGGGAGAGAAAAAGGGGCTAGGGGTTTACGTTGAGATGAAGGGAGAGGCTCTCCTGGGTAGGTTTAGAATATATACCAAAGCCCTAACCCGACCCGAAACCCAATAAGACCAAAATAAAAACCGTAAAAGAAAACAAACTGGAAAACAAACTGCCTTCTGTAGGCATTTCACCTGCTGGACACATATCACTCGATGTCTCTCATATATAAACACCTGTTGGGTTCCCAAACACTGATAAATATATACATCTGATATATTTACATGATTATAAATCATAAGAGAATTATTCACTATTAATAATTCACATATTTTTATTATAAAATTTTCGGGGTTTTACAGTTTATTTGTGAGATTTGTGTGATTGTAAACCCTATTTGTATTCTCTCTCTAATAGTAGATCTCCCCCCTCCTTGCCCCATGGACGTAGGCAACTTGCCGAACCATGTTAAAATTAGTTGTTTGTGCTGTGATTTGTAATAGCTTATTTAGGTTCCCTCGACAGATCAGTCCTAGAACTGATGAGAGAAAAAGCTGATATCCCATTTTTTAAAGATATTTTACTTTTGGTTCTTGTTTACTTGGTAAAACGGGAATTCCTATTGTGATATTACTCTCTTGTTGCGCCGAGGTACTACCGAGGTGTTGCCGGCTACCGAAATTTCCGCTGCGCACAACAGCAATATGTATGAACATTGTACAAATCACAAGTTTTTGTGCTTGGAAGTGATGTTGCTCATTCACATTCACTCATTTACATGAATGACCACATTCACATGGTAAGAGAGTGTGTGTGTGAGTGAGAAAAATGTAGCAATTTGGTGAGAGAGAGAGAGAGAGAGAGAGAGAGAGAGAGAGGATCCATATAATAAAAAAATTGTTTGATGATTGAGGGTGGATCCATCTCTCTCTCTCTCTCTCTCTCTCTCTCTCTCTCTCTCTCTCTTACCATGGTATAAATATAAGTATATATAATATAGTTATAAGTATTCATATATGTGTATATTATTGACTTATAGTTATATAAGTACATTATTATTGTACCTAGCATATATGTAATTATATCATATAACTATACTTATATAAGCATAATTTTGATAGGGTTTTTCTAACCCTTGTTGCAATTTGGAAATAGAGATGAGAGAGAAGAGAGAAAAAAAATCATATAACACACAGAATTTACGTGGTTTGCTTCTCGATGAGAGAAGCTACGTCCATGACCGCCGCAGGTAAAATTCCGCTATGTTTTGAATAGTTTACAAGTTGCGCCCTAATTACCCTTTTATAGCTAGGGTATTAGTTCAATCCGCGCAGTTGGAGTTCTTACGATTCGATCACTTAAACGAATTGGGCCGCGTTTGGAAATTAGGCTCCATATAACCTAACAAATATAAGTATGTGATGTATACATATATAACTATATAATATGTTTTTATAAATGAAAATAATGGGTATGAAGTAGCGACTAATTTTTCAAAATGAATTACCAAGAGATAGTCATTTAGTGAGGCTCACCGCTAGTCATATCAGAAGATATGGACCTCACCACTCTATTTCTTGATAGCTCATTTAGTAAAATAAGTCGCCACTTCATACCCATCATTCTCTTTATAAATAACTAAACACACACACCCTATAAGTGAAGACCTATATAAGTATATATTAGGGCTGGACATATTCAATTCGGGTCGGTTTTAAGCCCAATCCGGATCCAATCCGAATTTTTTCGAATTCTCAAAACTCTCATTCAGATCCATATTTTTTTTCTTCATCCGAATATTCGGCCCAACCGAAATTCGGATCGGGCCGGATCGGTTTCAGTTTTGAACCGAATTAACTCCATGTTTGGTGATAAGGTCAGTGAATTTTGGAGACCCTTTTAATTCGTAAACGATAAATTGCAACATGAATTGGGACAATGATGGTAAGATCAGTGCTTAGTACAGTGCCAGAATCAATGCTTTCATCTATAAGGCATAAACCAGGGAATTGAAATTCATTGTAAGAATTTATTGATATAATAATAAAGTGCGCTCTTGAAGATACTAGACAAATTAATATGCTGCCAGATAGAGTGATGGTATTTTGAATGGATGCTAAAAACAGTCTTCTCTAATTTTATTCACTGTGACAGATAGGATATCCCTTCTCCAATTTCAATTAATAACAACAAGTCCTTAGTGCAACTTTACATCAAAACAAATAAAAGTTGCTTTCATGTTCTACTAGTAATTGCTAAGATATGTTGGAATTCAGGTCGGTTTTTTCGGGCGGTTCAAGGGTTCAAACCGGATTCGGACCGGTTTAATCCGGTTCGGGCGGTTTAGAACCTTATTCTCATCCATTTAATCCGGTTCAGTTAACCGACCCGTTTTTTCGGGCAATTTTTTTCGGTTGAACCGGTTTTTTTCGGTTTTTGCCCACCCCTAGTATATATACCCCATATAACTATATACGTATATACATATATATACTCATATGACTTTCTCTCTCTCTCTCTAATTATTTTCTTAACCAAATTTTACATATTTTAGTTACTCCTAAAATTGCATTTTCTTTTTGTAAAAAATCTAATTTTTTAAACATTAAAAAAAACAAGTTTTAAAGAAAGGGGGTAAATATTCGGCATTTTGTCCTGTTCTGACCCAAAATCCAGACCGGACCGGCCGGCGCGTTTGGACCCTCCTACGGTCCTACCCCTGCCGAAACAAAAAAAAAAGCAGGGCTTGTGAAAAATTTACGGTATTTACCCAGTCATTTATGAAGTCCTTGCAGGGTCCACAGGCAAATTCTAAATCATTCCAAGGGGCCCAACAGAATAGACCCCCAATTTCACTCGCCACACGTCACACAAGAAAACCCCAATCAGTTCACCGCCAGCTGTCCCAGCAACCACCGTTTTTCCCACTTGGGAGAGTCCTCCCGGGGTCACGGTCCTCACCTCCACGTGTCAGTTATCCACCCTTCTGTCAGCTGAGAAAAGAGGACTTTCCCTCGTTACCTCGCGCCTTTACGAGGCACCTCAACCGACACGTGTCCAACCTCCCACCAATTATCTCGACACGTGTCGCCGCGAGACAGTAGTTAGCGATGGAGAACGCTCGTTTGGCGTCGCCGCTTTCCGCCACACACGTGTAACTTTTAACCAGGGGTATTTTCGGCATTCTGTGATATGTCGAGGGGCGCAACTCAAAAGCGCCCTCTCCCTCCGTCTCCTCCCTCTCCTCCTGAGGGTAAAGGGAAAAAATAAGGAGGGAAAAAAAAAGAATGCCTGCTTTCCCCTGTTTTCGTCCCTTTTTTCTTTTATTTTCCTGTAATTTATAGCGAAATCTGAATTGGGTCTCTATAATTTTCTACGAGGAATACAAAAATTCAATAAAAATCGAATTTTGACAGAAATATGATACCAGAAGGCGAGATCGATGAACTGTCCACGAGATCAAGCAGCTACCCTATAGATCTCTTGCGTAGGTTCGCCGGCGGAGGGAAAGGCGGAGATGAGACGCCGACGTTCGCCGGCGGAGGCGACACCGGCGAGGTTGAGCTCAGCCTGGGGCTCTCTTTGGGTGGGTGTTTTGGCGTTGAGCCAAGAGAGAAGACGAGACTTGTTCGGGCCTCATCGATATCGACGCTGTCGATGTTTCCGATAGAGAGGGAGAGGGTTCCGTTGGAGAGGACGTGGTCGTTGCCGGCGGAGACGGAGGAGGAGATGAGGAAGAGGAAGGAGATGCAGAGCTTTAAGAGGTTGGAGGCCAAGAGGAAGAGATCGGAGAAGAAGGCGGCGACGACGAAAGATCGGAAGGAGGATAATTTGTTGGAGGAGGAGGAGAAACTTGTGAATGGGGTGGTTGTCCCTGCTGAGCTGGCGAGGTGGGGTGGTGGAGGAGGAGGAGGAGGAGGCCAGCCGGCGTCGCAGGGGTCGATTGGATCGCAGGGGAGTAGTTCTTCGGGGGTCTCGGATTTTGAGAGCGGGCTAATGCCCCAAGGTAATCATTTTTTGCTTCTTCAATTATTATTATTTAGTTCATCTTAGTTGCAAATGTTATGATTCTCTTGTTTGATCCTATGTAAATATGTTGATATTTTGGTCTCTTATTTTACTTGGTAATGTTAGTTAATCTATTGATTACATTACACTTGTAGGGAAGAAATGTGTTTCCCCTACCCTACTAATTTAAAAAATTGTATAAGAATTATGTGACATGGGAATTGTTTTTAATGGCATACTTTGATCCTTGTTATTAGGTTTTATCTGGATTATTGATCAAAACCATGGTTACCTCTTAACTAGCAAGATTAGGTTGTCCCTACCTAGCTACCAAATGTTTCCTTGGGGTTTTGCACAAACTTTGCCATCAATTTAGCGATCACTCTAGAATGAAGAACCCTGTTCTATAGGGGTTTCTTTCTTGCTTTGATGAGGGTTTCCTGAAAAAACTTTTGAAAGAGCCTGTATCAGTTTCAGTATTTCTTTCTTGCTTTGATGAGGGTTTCCTGAAAAAACTTTTGAAAGAGCCTGTATCAGTTTCAGTATTTCTTTCTTGCTTTGATGAGGGTTTCCTGAAAAAACTTTTGAAAGAGCCTGTATCAGTTTCAGTATTTCTTTCTTGCTTTGATGAGGGTTTCCTGAAAAAACTTTTGAAAGAGCCTGTATCAGTTTCAGTATTTCTTTCTTGCTTTGATGAGGGTTTCCTGAAAAAACTTTTGAAAGAGCCTGTATCAGTTTCAGTATTTCTTTCTTGCTTTGATGAGGGTTTCCTGAAAAAACAAATACAGATCCTTATTGATTCGTGAGTTCTCGAGCCGAACCTCAAGACAAATTACATCTACAAGGTAAGCCACATTCATTTAACTCTTAAGAACGAGGAATTGTCAACTGCCTTAGCTATATGGGCTAAACATATGGTTCATATGCCAAATCCTATTTATTCTACCTTTAGTCATTCCACTGAGAGGACTGAAGAAACTAGGAACCTTCAAACATGCTAGCTTCTCTTATATGATCAACCCCTTATATGTTAACCATGGTTGATCAATCTCAGGTCCCTCTACTTTTACTTAGTCCCTACAAGTTTTCTTTCTTTTTTGTTTAATGTATGGTAGGAGTTTGTTTTCTTTTGAATTACGGTTTATTTATTGGCTTTGCTGGCCATCCACCAATCTTGTTCTTTCTTAATATACCGGTTGGGTCTCGTCCAATAATGTAGCCCATGTTGCGTCAGAAGAAACAAATTACCTTTGCACCATGGTTGGAGATATTCCTCATAGCTTGGGGGATATGGTTAAGTTGCATATTAATTAGTTAACTTACTAGAAACCACAGGGGCAGTTATTGAGAATGTCCAAAATAATCTTTTATCTACGTGTTAGACCGCCAAAATTTCGGTACAAATGAAAAGTTCTGATCTTAGCGACCGGCTTTACGACAAGTGGAACACTTTTATGTTCAATGGAGTAATGACAAGTGGCACCTTTATGTTCAATGGAGTCATATGTCACAAAGTCCATTATTGTAATTACCTTCTCATACTTGGACTCAAGTCCAAACGATAGATGCTTGTTGATACAATCCAACAATCGTATCCATCTATTGGATGCATATTTGATTCTATTTGTGGAAGACTGCCGTTTTCGCAAGAATTTATGCAGTCCTCGTTATAGGCTCCCACACAAGTAATTGGATGATGGAACATCTCAAACGGCAGTTTGAGCTTGTGTGGCTGTTCTTTTAGTTTCCTTCTTGACTAGAGAGTATATTTATGGACGGTTTGTTCTGTTAGAACCACAAGTTATACGTGGCTTGCAAACTTTCTGGTTGAGATATTATAATCAAGGATTTGACAAAAATGTTATTCCTGTGTTATCAATTCTGTCAAGTGTGCCACGTGAAATCGACATTCATGGTAGCTACATTGCTGGTGTAATTTGCACATTCATGTCTCTCGATGTTATCGACAAAATGAATTTGCAACCTTGCATAGTTTACAGTATTGTAAACCTTGTTTCATTCAAATATTGCAATCAAGCATTCAACAACAATATTTCTCTAACTATTCATATTTCTCTATCTATTCTATCAAGTGCACATCATGGAACTACTGTGTCATGGCTTATGTTGAAAAAACACATCTACACGCTTCATTTGTTGAAAAACTGAAGATCAAAAAATAGTGCACAATCATGTCTATTTTAAGTCTTTTGACGGCATGGTAAATATTTCCATCTTCAGGGCCGTGCAATTGTCTGATATACACAATGTTAGTTGTTAGAGTGAATGATAGTAGGGGCATGTCTGGCAGCTGTTTAAAACCGGGCTAGGTTTGATCCTGGCCCAGTTAATGTTAAGCGAGTTTTCTTTGTTTGGTATGAATTGAGTCCGGAACAGGCAAAGTTTGTTTTAGTTCAACTTTTGCCCACGAAACCAGTGTGGTCCACAACTAAACTGGTCTTACCAGAACCTGCTTCAGGATCCAACCTGACCCAGTTTGAAAGAATTGCCGCGCACCCTAGATTCCCATAATATGCAGACATACCTCTTCTTTCCCCTTCTGTGTAAAATATGTTCAATTATGAAGCAAAGTATTATAGCATGCTACGCTTTGCGTGACTTCCAAACATACAGTACATGATTACAATCAAATTTATACACATGCAGGCATCAACAGAGCGGAAGTCCGAAGCACCACAACACTTCCATCACCGTCTGATCACGCAAAAACCACTAACCCCTCAAAAGAGATCGACAACCCATCAAAGACGAGAACCTGCACTACAAATAACAACGGTATAAAAGGGACAGAGAGGAACATGATGGAAGAAATGCCGTGTGTCTCCACGAAAGGTGATGGCCCAAACGGAAGAAAGATTGAGGGGTTTCTTTACCGGTACCGAAAAGGCGAGGAGGTGAGGATTGTGTGCGTCTGCCACGGCATCTTCCTCACTCCGGCAGAGTTTGTGAAGCACGCTGGCGGTGGCGATGTTGCGCATCCCCTCCGGCATATTGTTGTTAGTCCAAGTCCAGCAGGTTTCTCATGATGGTGGGTGTTCTTTCTTAGGGTTCGTCATGAACATTGTCATTAATAGTGCCAAATATGTTCTTTTCACAAGAAAGGAAAAGATTAAGTTTCCTCCTCCTTGTAGGTTAAGTTAATGTTTTTCGTATCCTCTGTGAGTACAGGTAGTGCCTCTTCTTAGGCAAAGGCGAAGAAATGAAGAGATTCCACTTTGTGCTTTGTTGTCGTCTTTGGTTCTTATTTACTTGCATTTTGGTACATAAGCTAGAGCAGCGCATTATGTTTAGATTCATATTGTTGCTCAGGTTTTCAGAGATCACCATCTATCCATTGAGTATGTTCTATGTTGACCAGTTGATTTACTTTTTGGGCTCGTTTTAGATATCTGACCCTGTATCTTTGAAACTCACAAGTACATCGAATCGCTAGGGGTTTCGCAATTTGGTCCCTCTTATGACCAAAGTATTTGTCAGATTTGTGTTTCCTCTCGAAGCCTCTTATTCCACAAAACATTTGTCGATGTGTATTTTTGTTTTCCATGGACTCAAGTGCAAGACCCCCTAAGAATTTGGGGAGGAGTGAGCAAATTTCAAATGAATAAAGTTTTGTTTTAAACCTATTAAGACTTTTTTTTTAAAACCGACCTATTCTGTTTATATTTCCAGAAATCGACCCACTTTGTGGTCACGTCAGCAACGTGGTCACGAGGCAGGTTGATTTTTTTTAATCTCGTCTCTAAATAGTCGGGGTTGCCAACCCGGCTATTTTGACAGTAGCAAAATTAGTCGGGGTTGGCAACCCCGACTATTTAGAGACGAGATTTAAAAAAACCGACCCGCTTTGTAGCCACGTTGCTGATGTGACCACAAAGTGGGTCGATTTCTGGAAATAAAAACAGAGTGGGTCCGTTTTAAAAAAAAAAAAAGTTGGATTGGGTTTAAAATGAAAATTTCTTCAATTTCAAAAAATCTATTGAAGATTTAGTCTGGTTTGGCATTTTATTGAAGATTTGATATTTTTAGGGAGGAATATCTTAATGACCCTCCTCATCTTTCCCGTCTTAATCTTTACTTATTAGGACCAACTTGGGGATTCTGATATGATAATGATATCACAACTTGTGTTTGTTTAAATCTGCGTAGACAAACAGAACGTGGAGAAGATGCTGAGTTGATGTGAGGCAGTAGAGAACCGCGCCCACACAACACTAAGAAATTCCAAGTTGCCGGCCGTTTATACTAGTTGACTGGTATTCAAACCCATTGAAAGCTAATTTAGAGAATGGTGACGAGCAAGTCAATTTGTAGATTTCTAAAGATTTGCACATACCAAGTTGGAGGTTTTCAGTGAGCTGAGTCATGCTGTGTTCTAATTAAATCTAAAGTTAAATAAATAATGAGTTTGGTTTATAATCCAAAGGGTATAATGTTCAGTCCATCCAAAAAGTTAAGAGTTAATGAAATTTTCGTAGAAAGTATAATACGAAACTATTTACAGGGACTAATATCAACACGGTAATGACAACAAGTAGACTAATATCAAAATATGAAGATTTGAGGGACTAATATCAAAATACATATGATGTGATAGAATAATATCTAAAATCCCCTATATTTTAATAAGGGGAAAATGCTTCCAGCCCCCAAAAGCCAAGTGACCATGCTTCCCACCCCCAGGACTTGGTCAATGGGTGTTTTACCCCTAAAAATAAAGATTGTGTTCTCTGAGGTCCCAAAACACAAAACCCAAGACATTAAAACATGTGAAGACCATAATACCCTTCTCTCTCTCTTTCTTTTTTTATTAAAATATGATGGGGATTATTTTATTATTTTTGTTTTCTCTCTCTCTTTATCATGATGTACCAAGAGGATAGTTGAAATGATTGATGAGGATTATTTTATTATTTTCGTTTTTTATTATTTTGGTTGTTTGTATTGGGAGGTTGTTAAAGTTACGGGTTGATTGTTAAGGTTACGGGTTGGTTGTTAAGGTTAAGGGTTTGTTGTTAAGGTTGTGAATCCTCTCTCTCTCTTTCTTTTTTTATTAAAATATGATGGGGATTATTTTATTATTTTTGTTTTCTCTCTCTCTTTATCATGATGTACCAAGAGGATCTTTAGATAGGTAACCCTAACAATTAAACCCGTAACCTTAACAATTAAACACGTAACCTTAACAATTAAATCCGTAATCTTAACAACAAATCCGTAACCTACACAACAAATCCACAACCTTAACAACAAACCCTTAACCTTAACAACCAACCCGTAACCTTAACAATCAACCCGTAACTTTAACAACCTCCCAATACAAACAACCAAAATAATAAAAAACGAAAATAATAAAATAATCCTCATCAATCATTTCAACTATCCTCTTGGTACATCATGATAAAGAGAGAGAAAACAAAAATAATAAAATAATTCCCATCATATTTTAATAAAAAAAAGAAAGAGAGAGAGAGAGGATTCATAACCTTAACAACAAACCCTTAACCTTAACAACCAACTCGTAACCTTAACAACCTCCCAATACAAAAAATCAAAATAATAAAAAACAAAAATAATAAAATAATCCTCATCAATCATTTTAACTATCCTCTTGGTACATCATGATAAAGAGAGAGAGAAAACAAAAATAATAAAATAATCTCCATCATATTTTAATAAAAAAAAAAAGAGAGAGAGAAGGGTATTATGGTCTTCACATGTTTTAATGTCTTGGGTTTTGTGTTTTGGGGGCTCAGAGAACAGATTCTTTATTTTTAGGGGTAAAACACCCATTGACCAAGTCCTGGGGGTGGGAAGCATGTTCACTTGGCTTTTGGGGGCTGGAAGCATTTTTCCCATCATATTAAGTCCAATTTGATTTATGTTAAATCTAATTCAACTTGTTTTAAGTCTAACTTCATATTAAGTCCAATTTGATTTATGTTAAGTCTAATTTAATTCTTGTTTGAGCTTAACATGAGCCAATTTAAGTCCAGTTTGGTTCGTATGAAGTCTAGTTTGGTTCATATTAAATCCATTTTTGGTTCACGTTAAGTCTATTTTGGGTCTATTTTGGTTCATGTTAAGCCCAATTTGGTTCACTTTAAGTTCAGTTTGGTTCATGTTAAACCCAATTTGGTTCACTATAAGTCCAATTTGGTTCATGTTAAGTCCAATTTGATTCTTGTTGAGTCTAATTTAAATCATGTTAAATCTAATTCAATTTGTTTTAAGTCTAATTTCATATTAAGTCCAATTTGATTTATGTTAAGTCTAATTTAATTCTTGTTAAGTCAAATTTAAATTATGTTAAGTCTAATTCTATTTATTTTAGGTCTAATTTCATGTTAAGTCTAATCTAATTCGTGTTAAGTCTAATTTAAATCATGTTAAGTCTAATTCAACTTGTTTTAAGCCTAATTTTATGTTATGTCCAAATTGATTCATGTTAGGTCCAATTTAATTTCATGTTAAGTACAAAATGGACTTAACATGAATCAAACTGGACTTAATACGAACCGAACCGGAGTTAAACACGAATCAAACTGGACTTAACACGTACCAAACTAGACTTAACATATAATCCATTACTTAATATTTAACAAATTAGACTTATTATTCAACCCAATAGACTTAACATACAAGTCATTGGACTTATTATTCAATCCAATAGACTTAACATACAAATCCTTGGACTTCACTTCTAACTCATTAGACTTATATCCCATCTTGGACTTGAACTTAATATAAAAAATTATAAAAAAAAATCGATAGCTTAGAGGTCTTGAATTTGCAACGGCCTCGAACTGCTCCTCGTCCTCCTCTGTCACCGCCTCCTCTACCTCGTTCTTCGCCACATCTTCGCCTTCAGTGTTGGAGACTAATCTGTTCTTTGACGGATCCTCCGTGTAGAACTCTGACGAATTTGAGGGGTTTTTTTAGTTTTGGGTGAAAAGAAAGAGAGCAGGAAAAATTAGTGGGCAAAAAGGAGCAAACAATAGGGTCGGAATGGTCGACGATGACAGAGGGGGATGTTGGTGTCTGAGAAAAAAAGGAGGGAGAGAGAGAGAGAGAGAGGAGGAAGGAAATGAGTTAGGAGAGAGGATGAGAGGAGAGGAGGAAGGAAATGGGTTAGGAGAGAGGATGAGAGGAGAGGAGGAAGGAGGAGCATATGTAGAACTGGAGGGGAGAGAGGATGAGAGGAGAGGAGGAAGAATGAGCATATGTAGATCTGGAGGAGAGAGAGAGAGAGAGAGAGAGAGAGAGAGAGAGAGAGAGAAAGAAATGAGAATATTTTTGGCTTTTCTATTTGTTTCCCTCTTTTTGTGCTTAGTTGGCATGGAATAAAAGACTGAATCACATGAAGTGACTTTTTTGGGGGCTGATCCACATGGAGAAAAGATGGAGAGGCTAGGGACACGAGGCTATTGTTATTGGGGCATTGACACAATTTTCCCCAAAAATAAAAATAAAGGGTAAAAGCTACATTATTTAAAATAGTAAAAGATGATTTTATCAAGATTTTTTTTCCGTGATGATTTTATCAAGATTTAAGCACTTAAGTATTTAACTCAGGTGCATTAGGCATCCGAGTAGTATTTATTCTTTTTGAAAAACAAACAGCCTGAACTCATTTGCACAAGCCCGAAATAGATCGAAAGGGTGTAATGTCGTGGAAAAAGAATACGTGGAAGCCCAATATATGCTAATCCTGGGCTTCTCAAGGGGCTTCTCAAGCCCATTAAAAGTCTGTAGCTGATTGCTGTAGTAGAAAAGAAATAGAAGAAATCTTGTCAGTTTGAGAAAAAAATTCTATAGTCAATATTAACCTTAACTTTTTTTTGAATATTACATTATTATCTTAATTTATTCTAATTATCATATCTTCTTTACAATGGTAATTAAATAATTTATCATATTCATAATGAGACTTAACATATTATCAGATAAAAGAGATACGTTTGAAATCACCTTGCAATAGTAAACACTCTGTCTCTTTCTCTTCCACCATATCATAGCTTGAAGCAGCACTTGAAACCCTAGAACTCGATTTCATTATTCTTGCAATGAATTTAGGATGAAAGACTGTGAATGTGGGGGTTAGGTTTGAGATTTAATGAGAGAATTTTTAAATAAAGAGTGATTGGTGGGATTAGTTTATATATATATATATATATATATATATATCATACTCCCTTTAAAAGCACGAGTTAGGAAAAAACTTTTTTAGACAAATATACCCTTATAAAGTTTAAACTACCCTATCTATAATCAAATTCTAATATTTAACACATTAATTACTTTATATATCATATCCATAATATCATATCCGTTCGAAGATAATAAGGCTATTATTCTCTATCCTCTACAAGAATCTTCAAAGTTTCTGAAATCCTCCACGTAAACTTTTAATCTACTACTATCGTGTCATAAGATGAGGTAAAGCTCCCTCACATGCAAGTAATCTTTTGTGAAACTATAGGGAAAAAATCCAAAGTTAACAAGCACGGAAAACTTTGAAAAGTTATCCTATTAGACCGACCAAATTATATCCATTAACACGCCTCCTTGTTCCTGTATTAATTAATGCTATTAAGTAATACACTAAGGGGCTGTTTGGAACACTTCTTTTGAAGTGTTTTTTGGGTGAAAGCCTGACAAACTGTCAGGCTTTCACCCTAAAACGCCTCTAAAAAGAGGCGTTTTAGGGTGAAAGCCTGACAGTTTGTCAGGCTTTCACCCAAAAAACACTTCAAAAGAAGTGTTCCAAACAGCCCCTAACCCGAGAGCCATCTTATTTCACCAACAAAATTCTATCCATAAACATTAACACAACTCTAATTATGACTACTATCCTATCACATGCAATACGTCATGCCTATATATAAACCAATAAATTACACAATTTGCATACTATCTTCATCTCCTCAGCTCCTTCAACATGTATGTTTCTTTTTTATATATTTTTATTTTTATTTTTATGATTTCATGATTAATCTTTAAAAATATTGTGTATTTTATTTAATGGTGATATTTGTTTAACACTGCAATTACTTTTTATGGCAATTGATATTATTTTAAAATTTCTTCAATTTTCATGCAGAATTTAGAGGATTAAAGATTTGATTGTGTTCTCCCATCTATCAAGGTAAATCTTCATGTACAATTAGGTTTTGTTTCTTAATTGAAATTTTACATAATCCCTTTTACAGAATTTTTAATTTCAAATACATGTTGAAATTTTATTTTTTTATTCTATTTTTATCAATTTAGATAAGCATGATATTTAATTACGTGAATTGCATGTAGTTGAATATGACATATGATATTTAATTACCTATTTTATTTTATTCGGTTCCTTTTCATCTTTTTTTATCCCTTTGTGCTTTTGCAACATGTTGTTTACTAAATAGTTCCTTCAGGGAACTGCTTTACTGAGAATTCTCATGACATATGATATTTAATTACCTATTTTATTTTATTCGGTTCCTTTTCATCTTTTTTTATCCCTTTGTGCTTTTGCAACAAGTTGTTTACTAAATAGTTCCGTCAGGGAACTGCTTTACCGAGAATTCTCATTTTTTTTGGGTTTTGAAAATCTGTCCCCACCTCTTCACCAAGGAAAAAGCATTTATACATATAAACCCAAATTTATCTTATCAATCCATCTATAGAATACGAATCATTGCTAATTTATGCTTACATTCTTCGGCGTTCGGTGAAGTTTCCTTTCATCTAGCACAATTAAATTTCAAAACTGAGAATAGTTAAAAATGATGAGGGGGTAACATCTTGTCATTTGATATAATTAAATTTCAAACCGAGAATAGATAAATTGAAAAGTACCCCCGCTTCATTAAAAAATAAGGGGTAAAAAATATATATATTCTACACGCTCAAATAGTTTAGACTAATATATGTTTTATAAATCCCCAAAGATACAAATTATCTATTGTGTTACATATATTAAAGAGTATAACTAATATATGTTTTATAAATCCCCAAAGATACAAATTATCTATTGTGTTACATATATTAAAGAGTATATTATTATACATTAAAGAGTATAATTTTAGTGCATGATATCTGAAAATAAAGGTTAAACATGCCCGCCATTGACCTAACTATATTCAGAAATCCAAATATCCAAACTAAAGTATGGCATGTATACCTACCACATCAGATACTTGTCTCTCTCACTTCTTTACTTCCTTTTTGCTGAACACACTATTAACTTTTGATAAAGTCTGATACAATGCAGTATGTTGAAACTTATCAGGTAAACTTAAATGAGACCCACCACGACCATGAGAGGGGTGTTAAGGACACTTAGATACACTGCTATTCTTAGATATGTAAATAGGTCTTGTAGATATTATCACTAAATTAAAAAAGTGATACTCAGTTCAAGGAACCCAAAAAAATATTGTTTTGTTCAAATTCTTACAAAATATTCCTGTAAATCTATTGCTATTTTCGGTTCACCGTAAAATCTATATAATTACTAATTTACTCATCCGGATGCTTAAGCAAGAAAAGCGTAAAAATAGTGCGGGAGAATGTAAGGGTGAATTAGAAAATATGAAGCGTGAATCTGCAAGTAAAATAAATCTAGGGGGGGGCAAAAGGCAAAAACCAAGGAAACGCTCTTAAACTAGAAAATTTTAAACAGAATAATACGATGGCAGTAGGATTCCTCTGCCTCTGTCAATTCGAGTGTCAGCTCTCTGGTCTCCGATCCGATACAGTACAAATTTCGGCCGCTACCAAACTCCACCATATATAATTCCAAGGGACCACAAAAGGTTTCAGAGAGCGTCACTAACTGAGCTCTCCACACCCTGGAAAAGATCAAGCGGAAATTTGTTATTTTTTTTTTAATAATTGAGCTGAAATCAACCGACCCAGATGAGTTCTCCCAGTTCGAACCCCTCTTAGCTCTTAAAGACTGTAGGTTCTTCTGCTCTGGTTATTGGTCTCCGGTTAAGTTTTGGGAAATTAGTAAATGGTTCTGGAGTAAATTTGATAGACGTCTAGAAAGTTTCCTCTTTTGGACGTGTTGGACATATTTTTTTTTTTAATACGATATTGGAGGCATTGGAGTCTGAGTTGTAATCAGGAGAAATTTTCGAGGCTTTCTTTTTTATGTATCTTTCGGGCAAGGGAAATTAGCACAAGAGTATTAATTAAGTCGCTTGTGTTGACAGATTGAGAGAGATCTTGGATTTTGCTTTGTAATGTTTTTAATAAATTTACAAATTTATTATTATACAAATTTATATGTTTCACGGAACTATTTAGTATGTTTCTTTTTTATATTTTTATTTTTATTTTCATGATTTCATGATTAATCTTTAAAAATATTGTGTATTTTATTTAATGGTGATATTTGTTTAACACTGCAATTACTTTTTATGGCAATTGATATTATTTTAAAATTTCTTTAATTTTCATGCATAATTTAGAGGATTGAAGATTTGATTGTGTTCTCTCATCTATCAAGGTAAATCTTCATGTACAATTAGGTTTTGTTAATAAATTAATAGTAATATGACATATGATTTTCCTTTGTAGAAATTTATTCTCTGGTTTTTGGATATCATAACTACTATACAACATTTTCTCGCCTAAAATGGCTTCAAGCCAAGGTTTGCATTAAACTCAATAATGAAATATTCATATATTATTATATTAGTATATGTGTATGTATTTATAATGCTACATGAACAATTTTTTAAACAGAAGAGAACACTCCAATACCCAGAATTAAAAAGACTCAATATTCTCGGTTGAGTGATGAGCAAAAGAAATCTTACATTCAGAGAATTGTGGATAATAAGAGAAAGCAACACAGTAATGACTCTTCTGGTAATACTATTAATGGCAAACGACAACGTAAAGTTGACCTATTTTGTGGAGCCCTTCTACTGGCCTATGAGCATGAAGGTTGGTGTACATATACTTTATAGTTTATTGAAAGAGCCATATAACATTATATATTAGTTTATTAATTATTTATATTTGTTCTAGGGCAAATTCTTCATGAACCGGTATGTTCTTTACTATATAAGCTACGCACTCCAAAGTCTTGTGCATATTGTGGATCCAAAAAGTTTGAACATGAGCCTCCAACATTTTGTTGTCACAACGGTGAAATCCACCTAGCAGATGTGAATATTCCAAATGAATTATTTGCCCTTTATACAATGCATACACCAGAGGCAATTGAGTTCCGAAGCCACACCAGAATGTACAACAGTATTTTCTCATTCACATCGTTTGGGGCAAGATTTGATAAAGAGCTCGCATCAAATAGAAAATGAGTTTTCACATTTAGAGCACAAGGACAAATATATCATAATCTCCTAGCTCTAATTCCAAAGGAAAATAAGCCTTCATACTTTCAGCTTTACTTCTATGATACAGAGAATGAGTTGCAAAATCGATTGGGAATTCTAGACAATGCAAATATGAGTGAAAGCACAACTAAGAGCTTGATGGATATATTACAAGGAAACCCATATGCAAAGTTCCTTCGCAAATTGAATAATTATCAATCTTTTGAAGAATTAAAGATACTAATAAATAGTAACGTTGCACTAGATCAACGTGTTTACAACTCACCAACAGCAGATCAGGTGGCTGCAATCTGGGTTGAAGGAAATAATGACAATGCACCATTTGAGAGAGAGATTATTGTCCATGCACACTCAGGAGGAAGACATCAAGTGAAACACTATTTTGGCTGTTATGATCCACTGCAGTATCCCTTACTCTTTCCAAATGGAGAGGTTGGATATCATCAAAATATTAAAAGAAGGGATAAAAGGGATATCAGAGCTGACAATCAACAAAGAACTATAATACCAACTTCAATATCTCCACCTACCTTCACATCTGCAGAAGACATATTTAACCGAGAAAGTGAAGGTAAATTTTAATTCATATTTCTAAGTAATATTATTATATATGAACATATATTAACGCCTAAATTTATAGGCGTCAAGGCACCAAAACCCGGAAAAATCTCATGCCGAGATTATTATTGTCATAAGCTCCAGATGAGAGACACACGACAATCTTTTATACTTACATCAACAGGTCGTTTATTCCATCAATATGTTGTTGATATGTACATAAAGCTTGAAACAACAAGGCTTGATTACTTTAGAAATAAACAATCAGAAATCAGAGCAGAGTTATTCCAAGGCATTGTCGACAGTGTAGCTGCCGGAGAAGCAAATGCAAGCCAAGTGGGCAAAAGAATAGTTCTTCCATCATCATTCATAGGTGGTCCTAGAGACATGCGTCGCAGATACCTTGATGCAATGTCATTAGTACAACGATTTGGAAAGCCAGATCTTTTTATAACAATGACATGTAATCCAGAATGGGAAGAGATCATTGAGCAACTACATCCAGGCCAAAGCCATAATGACAGGCCAGACCTAACCTCAAGGATATTTCGAACAAAGCTCCAAGACTTGAAAGATCAACTATTTAAGAAGGAGATCTTTGGGAAAGTTGTAGCACATGTTCATGTGATTGAGTTTCAAAAAAGAGGGCTACCACATGCACATATATTAATAATTCTTATTAGAGATCACAAGATCACATCATCAGATCAGTATGATAAATATGTATCTGCAGAAATTCCAGACCAATCCAAACACCCGATCCTCTATGAATTGGTAAAAAACATATGATGCACGGACCTTGTGGAGAGTTGAACATGAAGAACAGTTGCATGCAAAATGGAGAATGCAAATATCACTATCCTCGTGATTTTAGCTCACAATCAATTCAAGCAAAAGATGCTTACCCAATTTATAAGAGAAGGAATGATAACAAAACAATGTTGGTCCGCAATAAAATCCTTAATAATCAGTGGGTTGTACCTTACAATCCATATTTGCTGACACGTTATAATTGTCACATTAATGTTGAAATATGCTCAGGCATTAAAGCAGTGAAGTATCTTTACAAATACATATATAAGGGTCATGATAAAGTGGCAGTAAACATTGAATATAATGAAGGAGGAAGACTTGTGAATGAAATCAAAAATTTTCAAGATGCAAGATGGGTATCAGCTCAAGAAGCTTTGTGGAGAATATATGAATTCTATCTTAATGAGATCTACCAAGTTGTCATCAACTTACAACTACACTTGCCGAATCAATAGTTTGTTTCCTATTGGAAAAATCAAGACCTATCGAAGCTCATCCGCTGGGACCATGTCCACAAGATGATGCTTACAAAATTTTTTACACTATGTTCAAAAATTAAAGAAGCTAACAAATCAAAACCAAAAAAGGACAAAGAAAATGAGTTATTATATTGTGAACTTCTTGAATATTATGTTTGGGATTCGACAACAAAATGTTGGAGTCCAAGAAAACAGAGACAGGTAATAGGCCGTATAAATGGTGCTAATCCAATTGAAGGGGAAAGATATTACTTACGCCTTTTACTTACTCACATCAGATGCCCCACCTCATTTGAGAATCTATTGACCGTGGATGGAATTCAATGCACATCATTCAAACATTCAGCTCAAAAATTAGGTTTATTGGAATCAGATAATAGCATCAGAGAATGCTTAGATGAAGCCGTCATCTTTCAAATGCCAGCAACCCTTCGCCGCCTGTTTGCAACCATACTGGTTCACTGTGAGCCCGCAGATGTTAATAAATTATGGGATCGATACCTTGACTCATTATCTGAAGACTTCTCAAGGAAACCTGGTGCTACGAAAGTTTCGATTATAAACGACACCCTTTGCAACATTAAATTCTTCTTAGAGAGCATGGGAAAGGATATCAAGAAATTTGATTTACCGCCTATTCAAACTAACCCTCATTCAAAAGGAAGTTCATACCCAAGAGAAATTCAAGATGAACTCAATGTACAAATTCCAGATGAAGACCTCAATGCTGAATCATCACTCAATTCAGAACAATATAATGCATACACTTCCGTACTATCACGAATTCAAGGAAATAAAAGCGGGATTTTCTTTATTGATGGGCCAGGAGGAACTGGGAAGACATTCTTATACCGTGCTTTGCTAGCCAAAGTAAGATCAGAAGGGATGATAGCTCTTGCTACAGCGACATCAGGCGTGGCAGCAGTAATAATTCCTGGTCACGAGTTCAGGCAAATAAAAGTGGCGTTTTCTTTATTGATGGGCCTGGAGGAACTGGGAAGACATTCTTATACTATGCTCTACTTGCCAAAGTAAGATCAGAAGGGATGATAGCTCTTGCTACAGCGACATCAGGCGTGGCAGCAGTAATAATGCCTGGAGGCCGAACAGCACATTCCAGATTTAAGATAAAAATCCCAACAACAGAATCATCTATGTGTAGCATATCCAAGCAAGATGGAACCTCAAAGCTGATTAAGATAGCTAGATTAATAATTTGGGATGAAGCTCCAATGGCTAAACGTGTTGCAATTGAAACATTAGATAGAACATTAAGGGATATAATGGATCAAGATGAACCATTTGGTGGCAAAGTAATAGTATTTGGTGGGGATTTCAGACAAGTTTTACCAGTAGTACCCCGCGCAACAAGATCACAAACTGTTAGAGAAAGTTTAGTAAGCTCATATTTGTGGAGCAAAATGGAAAAGTTGAAGCTATCGAAGAATATGAGAGCAAGAACAAATTCAACATTTAGCGAATTCCTTTTAAGAGTTGGAAATGGAGATGAACCGACAGTGGCTGATGACCTAATAGCATTGCCCACTTCTATTTTGATAAAGAATCAAATTGATGATTTACCGGAAGATTGTCTAATAAATGCAATTTTCCCATCTTTAGATGACAACTTCAAATCCATTGACTATAGGAAAGATCGAGCTATCCTGGCAACAAAAAATGAATATGTCGACATGCTAAATGATAGAATCATAAAGCAATTTCCAGGTGAAGAAAAAGAATTTTACAGCTTTGATGAAGCAGTTGATGACACTAATCATCACTACCAGCCAGAATTCCTAAACACGTTGCTACCAAATGGACTACCACCCCACAAGCTGGTATTAAAGAAACATTGTCCTATTATTTTATTAAGGAACCTGGATCCGACTAATGGGCTATGCAACGGAACAAGAATGGTATGTCAAGATTTTAATTGTAATATAATCCATGCTAAGATCACAATGGGCCAACATGTGCAGGGAAAGAAGTTTTCTTGCCAAGAATAGCATTATCTCCAGCAAAAGATGAAGGGTTCTTGTTCAAGTTCAAACGAAAGCAATTTCCAATACGGCTATGTTTTGCAATGACAATCAATAAATCACAAGGACAAACAATTCCTCATGTAGGCATCTATCTACCTCAACACGTTTTCTCTCATGGACAGCTGTATGTTGCTTTATCACGAGGGACTTCAATGACAACAACCAAAGTCCTAATAATATCAGACGGACAATTTAAAGAATATGAAAGATACACAAAAATATAGTATACAAGGAAGTCCTACAGCCAACAAACATGAAATGAACTTCAAAGTCGCAATAGCTATTCTAAAGGTAATTAATTTATAAGAATAATTGCGTATGTTCATTCATGTTCATTCCTATAATTTATAATTTTTAATATTGTATAACTTCTTTCCCTTTAGCTTTCACTTTTTAACCCCACTCAAACTATATTATCAGTTAAAAATATTCAAAATCTTATTTCCCTTTAGCTTTCACTTTTTAACCCCACTCAAACTATATTATCAGTTAAAAATATTCAAAATCTTATGAGGAACAAGAATTAATAAATTCATTTTCTAAGATATGTTATATTCTATAATATTGTTCAAAACTAACATGTATATTTTAATTCATTTAACAGAAAATATGATTACCGGTATTGAAGAACAAACTCAGCACATCCAAATAATCCAGCTCAAGAAGTTTCAGAAGGAATGGACCATTCATGTTATTATACTTCGAAGTGCAGAGGCAACTTACAAAAATGCAAAAGGATCAGGGAAAATACTAAAGCTAATTCTTGCAGACGCAAAGGTAAAATAAAATTATTTTAAATATTATATTGTTTGCCCAACGTTACATCTGATCATATGAATATTGCTAAATCTCATTTTCTAATCGGTAAATTACATTAAAACACTGATAACTATCAGAATGGCTTTTTATGATGTTTCCATGTTTACATATAGTATATAGATTAGTATTAATTAATTATATTTTCCATGCATTGATCTCTGGTGTTAATAATATTTGCAGGGTAACAAAATACAAGCAGTAGTGTACGGAGATACTATCGAAAAATTTATAGATATGCTTCAAAAAAATCAAAATATTTTCATTTCAAATGGAGAAGTGAAAGGAATAAACCCAGCTTTTCTAAGTATCCACAAGTCACTTGAATTAGTACTAACAAAAGACGTATCGATCAAAGAAGCACCAACAGGATTCCACTTGGAGAACATATTTAACAAATTTGTCCCATTTGAAGAAGCATTTTTCATGAAAGATGCAACAAAAATTAGTAAGTAATTACAAACTTCTTACTTAAATCTTCAATATAAAATGAGACATTAATCTATAGAATCATAATCTTTTTATCAAATCACTTACAGATATTCTTGCAATAACAACTAATGTTAAGCCGGCGATCAACTATATTACAAGACACAACAAACCAGACACTAGGAGGGAAATCACGCTTATGGATATGAGGTATATTCATGTTACTTATTTCCAATATCATAAGAGAAAAAATATTAACATTCTTTCTTTTTCATATGCAGTGGAATGCCAATGCGTGCAACTTTATTTGGAGATTTAGCTACAAATGAAGGATCAATTCTTGAAACAGAAATCAAATATAAACCTGTAATAGCTTTAACAGATTTTAAAATCTCTATATATCAAGGTACATAAATTATTGCTGAAATTTTTATTAAAGATAGCTAAACATACAATTACTCCTATAATTTTCTCATTTTTGCAGGGGATACAAGCATATCGTCGCAAATTATTTCAACATTCTGCATCAACCCAAAAATAGAACTAGCTAGCGAATTAAGGGAATGGTAAGCAGAACAAGCATACTTTCATATAACCCAATAATGGAATATTATTATTTGTTAATATAATATGCAGGTTTCAATTGGAAGAAGCTGCAAAAGCAAAAGGATCTCCATCAACGCTTTTTAAAAATGCCAAGAAAATTCATATTAGTGATATTATGCATAAGTCACAGAATTCGATACAGGTACAATATTATATACATATTCTTATCTACAAATTTAAAACTAACTAAACTTTGTTAATATACAGGCACGGTATTGCATATTTAAGGTAATATATCTTTTTTAATACCATGAACATATTAAAATGCAATACTAATTGTCTTTAGAAATTAACAATGAAAAATACAGGTACTTAGTTAAGATTCTCGTGGAAAATGGCACGGATAATGCAAGAGTAACACTCTTTGACGCAGCAGAAACTCTTATTGGATGCAAAGCAGAAACATTCATTACAGAAAAGAAAGAGGTAATTTCTAACTCTATTCAAGTAGTAAATTAGAAAATAAACAAATTCATAAGTATTAATATAACATTTGTTCTCATTGCAACAGAAAAATAATCACAGTCCATATTTCCAAAAATTTGTTTTGAACATCGGAAAAACATTCAAATTCCTGGTGAAGTTAGATGAAAAGACAAAAGATGAACGAGGCGAAGGCAATATAATAGCACAAGAAATTCAACTCCAGTCTGATATTACAATCGACGTAGATGATGAAGATGCTACTCTAGAGTTGCCCAGAAAAAAGATAAAGGTTGAGAAAGATTGATCTCCGTTCAATTAGAAATTTTCAAGAACAATATTTTTTAATCATTTTATATAACAACTTATTTTTTTTATTACAATTAGGAATTTTTATAAGGCATTTTCATGCAGAGTTATTAGTAGTTTTGTATGCTTATGTGATTGCTTACATCACATAAAATTACACTTTGATATTTAACCATTTTACTATATTTTGTTATTGTCTATGGATAACGCAGAATGTGATTAATCATTTATGATATAAAGGTGACCTCTTTAACCAATTGGCTAGCTTTTAAAATATGAATGAGAATCTATCACATTTTATTGTTTAACATATTTAAGGAAAAGAAGAAAGGATGAACTGTCTACCACCTTGATAGACACCCTGATAGATCGCAAAAAAGTGACCAAAGTAATTGTTTATGTAATGATGGTATAGAGATCCAACATAAATACTAACATACTTGGCTATGGTGAGGATCATCTTCTCTAGAAATAAGTTGTTGCATTGCCAGAATAGCAAAAGATGTAGCAACTACCGAGTCCACATTCATGATGAGGATTCGCAGCATTTCCACTTTTAACCTCTATTTTAGCTTCAAAGAAGCATACAGCAGCATTTGTAACGCCAGGATCATCGTGCCTCTCCCATGAGACTGGCAGAATGATATCCCAGTGGTCATGGAACGAATTAGGAGTCACTGAAGGCCAATAAAATCATATGATTCACGAAATGAATGTAAGATGGCAATCTCTAGGAAAAGTACTTGACACATATATCCAAAGTTTGCTTCCAAACTGGTAGATATGTAAGATGGCAATCTCTAGGAAAAGTACTTGACACATATATCCAAAGTTTGCTTCCAAACTGGTAGATATTTGTGATATTCGACCAGACTGCTTGTAAATATTCAAAGGAAAAAAGGGAAAGACACGTGGCTTTCTAAGACCTTCAAGGAGGATCCCATAGTATGCTCCTCTCACTGCCTTATATGCTGCTGATGGATACATTGTTCACATGGAAATTTCATGCAAAGGATTCATTCCGAAGGACGGATCTCTTGACTGTGAAAATTGGATATATATAGTTGCTCCTGGTATGGAACTATCAGCATATTTAAGGAACAAATTACACAAGTACTACCGCAGTATATTTTTGGTTATGAGAAACTAGGCTTATTTTCTATGAGCCTGGAGTGGGTTCAGACTTTGGATCTTTGGACTGGAGTAGGCTGAATAACTGTGCAAGATCAGCGTCCAAGGATGTACAACAGCTACACTCAGGAGATTTACCGGATGGGAAGATATAGATCCTGTGGGTAATTGGTAATCAACATGCATGCCAAAGATTGCTCCTACACCTTCAAGAGCACCTTCCTTTATCATATGCAAAGCACCTGCTCCGCCTTCTTATGCGGGTTAAAAAGAAGTCTCACAGTTCCCTTTAACAGAAAATAAAAAAATGTTGATATTCAGAAGAATCAGAAAAGGGACTCCATACAAATAAAAGGTACAGTGACATTACCAAAAAAATGACTCTAGGAAAAAATGCAGGTGTACTTGATAGGAGATGTGATAAACCGTTCCAAATTAAAAGCAATTACAATATCCCAGATACTTATATTCAATTAAGTTTAGCTTAAATTTCTTTACATTTTTTTTAATATTTAAATAAAATACTAATAAATCTTCTAATTCAATTATACATATTTGAACTCAAGATAAATCTCATTTATTTAAAGTAATGAAATAAATATAAAACAATATTTTTAATATTTAACCACGTGCATTGCACGTGCATAAAAACTAGTATATATATATATATATGAGATTAATGGGTATCCTTGTCATAGGAGGGGATTTCCTCTTTGACGCCTCTAAAATCACATGATTGAGCGACATTATGGATGATCCGCTCCGTTGAACTTGATCTACATATTCTAAAACCTCAACACACCAAGTTTGGAGTGAATCCGTCGTCGTTTGACCCTTCATCCACTCGTATCAATTTTAACGGTTTTGAATGAATAGAACTTTTCACATGGCTCAATGGAGGGTCAAACGACGACGGATTCACCACTACTGAAATCTCATTCATGCGTAGAATGACCAAAGGTGAAAATGCACCGTACATAGTTATTCTGCTGTAATAGATGCAAATAATCCATTTTAGATAGGGAACTTTTTACCAAGTGCAAGCACATATCTGTTTTGAATACAGGTTCAGATAAAATAATCCTGATCTACAATTAGAAATAAACTTAGGGGGTGTTTGTTTCACCAAAAAATTTGGTATTTGGTATGGATTACAAGTTTTGGGATCAAAAAGTAAGTTTTTTTTGTATTTTGGGATTCCATATATGATGTTTGTTTAAAGAAATTTTTTAGAATATTGAATCCCAAAATGCAAAAAGTAATCAATTTTTAAAATTTGCCAAATCCTCTCAATTTGAGAGGATTTTGACAAATCCCATAAATGAGTGTGCTTACCTCTCAATTGAAGAGGATTTGACAAATCCTAATTTTATCTTTTTGTGGGAGGTAACCTCACAAAGATAACATATTCATCATATTACAAAATTTTAGCATTTGATAGTGTCTTCCGCTTTCATCCATTCCTTTCTCCCCAGTTCGGAGTGAATCTCTGGCTTCTTCTGGTTATCAAGCTAGGCCGGTCTCATCAAGCGAAAGCGAGGAAGCAAGGCAGTTCTCAAAGAAAGTCTTTCTTGCTAAATCAGTCCGGGCTCTTTTTCTCTTTTTTATAAAGAAGAGGCATCAAGTGGGACATGCTAGGCGCTTTTGCAGAACGATGGAACCACAAATCTCATACCTTCATCTTTGTAGTTGGAGAGATGACAATTCTGATTGAAGAGGTTGGATACATGCTTCAAATCACACCGGATCCTGGAAAGAAAGGTGAACCCTCATTCGGCGTACCGTCTTTTTGATGGAGAGCGCGAAAAGAAAGGATTTCATGGCCATGAGATCCCTTCCTTCCCTTGTGAGCGTAGCTAGTCTGATCAGTCCTTTGCTCTAACCTGCTGAGCTACCTGAACCACTTTCCTAAAGTCTCTTTTTTTCATCTATGAGCGCCCCACCAGCAGTGGAAGAGCTTGCTCAAGAACCGAGAGCCGGCCAGTCCCTGGCCGGCCCTCGTTCGATCAGGTGTTCTTCGCTATAGACGCCACCAAGAACAAGAAAGAGGTCTTGCAGAGCAGAGCCTAGTCACGTCACTAAGTAGTGCTATTCTGTCTTCCGAGGGACTCCATCAAGAAGAGGTTCTTTCTCTCACGTAATTTAGCCCGCCCGTTCCACTTCCGTGCCGGAGGAAATGGGATTCGAACCCACCAGCTGCCAACAACATTCATGCCTTGGGAAGGAAGAATAAGCAATGTTTGATTGCGAATAAGCGCTTCATATTCTTCTGGCATAACAGCACGCCAAAGAGGATCTTTGGATGCTTGAGAGCATAAGTAGAGGCGACCGGAGGGAGTAGAAAGATAAGCTTGGTGAGGTTGTGCAACAGAAGAGGATAGCGAGAGTGAAAAGAACCTTGAGGAAGCATAGTTTGCGATTTTGACCGAGTCATCATAGAGTGGCCTCCGTCACCCCGGTCAGCGTGCACATCAGAGCAACTGGAGCAGCAGGTGGTACTTCGGGAGATGTCGAGCTCGGCGAGGAAGGGAGCTGAAAAATACGCCGATGTCCTCGTCTAGACACACAAATCTCTTTAATCTGAGTGGTCCCAGTATGTGTGGGCGGTATATAAGGAAGATGCACTACGGACTCCCCCTGAATTGGAGAAGAGATGAAATCCTGTCGATAAGCATCGCCGTCCATTCGTCTAAACGGCCCTTTTCTCTATTATTTTCCGTGGCTATTAGATGCTCGGAAAGGGTGGGCGATCTTTCTAGAAACTGGAAACTGGGTATTATTTAATCGTCGGTAATCCATGTGTAGATAGATTCGGGACTTTCGTGTGCAACTCCTGCCTTTATATTTAAAGTAAAGTAAGAGTCGTGGGACTTGCGTTGTGCGAGAGCCCATATTCCCTTTAGCACTTTTAGTGACGTAAAGTGTGGCTCGATCTCCCTACCCGTGTCCATATCCGAGATCCTTTCCTTGACCGGTCTTATGACCAGGCGTTCGCAATAATTCGACAAGCTCCAGCCACCTCCCATTAAGTCTATATGCTGGAATTTCTTTATACTTGGTCCTGTTATTGCCCATTGCGCTGGCATGGTGGCAAAGTCCGGTACATTTGGATCCTCGCTTCGCCATACCACCATCGGTGCATCGTGGCTTTTGAATAGCGGCATTGCCCAGGACGGTTGCCTTTCCCTACCCGGGAGTTGCAAGTTTTGTATGAAATCCCGGCTTTCGGAGTGGGATGATCAACGAGTCCATTAGGGAGATCGTCACATGTTGGTTTTCGTTCGTTTCCGCTAAAGGATGAAATTTCTCTGAGTTCACAGCTACATTTATTACGCGCAGACGAAAGAAGCCAGTTCCTTAGTATCTTTCTTTTCTTCTTACTTAGGAATGAGTGTGCGATTCCGGTCTTCTTTCCGGTTCAATCGACGGCTGGCAACAGCTTAAGATCGGCTCTGGCTTCTGCGCTCTTTAAGCGCGGGCGATCCGTGAATCCCGCCTATCTGAATCTATTGTGGAGGAGTCACAGCTTGAGCGCGTGGCTTCAGCTCGTAGCACAGTAGTTG